GGGGGGGGGGGGGAGGGTGCGGCCGGATGAAAATTGCATTTCGGCGGCGCACCCGCGTCCAGTTCGCTCACTTGTAGATCTCATTTCCTACCGCTGAGTTCACTCCAGCCGTCCTATGCAGCCAGGTCGCACCTCCCTTTTCCTCTTTTTTCTTCCTCCGGCCCTCGCTTTCCCGTCCCTTTTGCGTTACCACCGCGTGGCGATCCGCGCGGCCCGGCCGGTATTGGCTCTGAAAAATCGAATCGTCGACTAACCGGCAATTTCCTCCGCTTGTTTCGTGCGCCAAATCGTCGCGTCGTACATACGTACGCTATTCCACTCGACGCATAACGCGACGCCGGCTCGTATGTTCGGCCAGAGAGAGAGAGAGAGAAAAAGACATAGAGAAACCGTCCACATCTTGCCATCCGTCTAACGTTTATCTCACGCTTGAAAGCGCATGTTTTACGGCCGGATCGGTTAACACGCGCCGTTCTATAAAACCACTCTCGGAAGCGGCTTCGACTCATCCCCTGATTTCGTGGGCGCGCGTGCGTCTCGCATTTCTGTCGCGCGTCCCGTCTTCGCTACGCCGGTCGCATTCATCGTCCGCGAACACTCCGGCTTCTAGTTTTGAACCTCGCGCGACGAATTAGTTTTCGATCTGTCGTACGAAATTTCCCCGAGGAGAGAGCCACGGCGAAGTTTCTCCTCCCGCCGGAATATCGCGCCGGGTAAGTAATTTAAAGTAGCCCGAGATTGACCCGGTCCGTGCACGAGTAATAATTGAGCGTCACCGGAAGAACATAGAGTTCTCCCGGGGTGTTCGCTCCAAGGCAGTTTCACCCTCTCCCCATTTTTCTTACCCTCTTCTCTCTCTCTCTCTCTCTCTCTCTCTCTCTCTCTCTCTGTAACTCTTATTGCATTCGTGGAAAGAATGGCGCGAGGTGTCCTGAGAATTGTGAGCGAAGAATAAAGAGAAAGGCGAAATGAAATGAAAAAGGAGAGGCGAACATACTCGGTCGATGGAACGTCGTAGAATCGAGGTAAGACGCGACTTTTCTGTTTGCTTTTCATTCGCCGGGAAAAGCGGACCGTATCGTGGAAACGCATTCCTCCGTTCTCTTTTACTCGTCTCTTCCCTCTTTCTTTCCGATACGTTACTTTACTATATAGTCACGTTACTTCCCTATTCGGCCCGCTTGCTCGCTCCCTTGGTCGACAGCCATGAAATGCCGGAGTTTCACGATATTCTTACTTTCTTTACGTCAACGGGCTGTCCTCTTAACACGTTCGAACTCCTCGCATGCCTCTCTTTCCGCCCCGCGTATGTAAAAGAAAAAGCGAGATCATTCTTCGACTTCTTAACTTTTTAGTCAAAATCTCGCGTTAATAATAATATCACAGTGATAATGCGCCGTTGTCCGTTGCTCTTTAGTTAAGAAAAATTAACATTAAAATTGTCCATGTTCGAGTTAACTCTGAAGGATCACACGTCCCCTTCACAATTATCAGCCTACGTTCAATCTTTTCATTTACAACGTCTCGATTTCTTTTGTAGAAGCGATCGTTTTATATACGACATGATTTTCACAGCAC